CTGCTCCTCCTGAAGGAACCATTTAAACGAACATATCAAAGCCTGCAGAGCTAAGTGAGTTTGGCAAGTTAAATATAAAAAAGGAGGAATTCCCAGGCATTTACCCCAAGCTCATCTCCTCTCTGCAACTACCACCAACTACTCCTTCTCTTTCTGAGTCAATGCCTTAGGCCAACCATCTTCCCTGTTCCTTCCCATTTGGTCAAGTCTCTTATTCCTAGGGATCCCCAACCCCAAACAACCTTTCTGCAGCTTCTCAATGTTAAAAGACTGATGTCCCTCCTCCCCTCAATTTCAGCCCAATAATGTCTCCCTGAGATACACACTAACCCCTAGAACTCCTATCATTCCACAGGTCACTATTGGTTAACTTCCCCTCTTAAATAAATGAGGGAACTAGATTATTAGCACAGTGCCTAAAGGGGAGAAAGTCAGCTCTCAGTGAGAGTCCTATAGGACTCTTCTGTTCCACCTCCATTGTTTACCTGATACCTCTCCTCCAAGGACAATTTCAGACAGGGTGAAATGAGCTCTGTCCTTCATTAAGGCTATGGTTCCTATGGTTCCTTCTTTGAGTAAGCCCTGATTCAATACATTTCATCTGTGGGATTCTAAACTCCTTGGCAATTGCTGATTCCCATGTAACCTAGTACTATCCTATCTAGTGTCACTTCTTCCTCAGCCTGGTATGCTCACAAAATACAAAATAACAATCACCCAAGAAAAATACAAGTGACAAAATAGTCAAAAGAACAACAAAATCAAAAAGCATATGGAATCAAATGTATTTCTGATTGTAATTTTCAAAATTATCACTGTCACTTTTGACAAAGATAACTGAAATTCATACTTGTTCAACCTGGGGAATCAGTAAGTGCATCTACATACCACTGTACTACAGATACCTCTTCTACAAATACATGGTATTATCTATAGTATTTTGCATATGATCTTATAAAGAACAGATCTTCACCAAAAAAAAAAAAAAGGGAGGTTGGGAGGCAGGTGCTGTGATAACTGAGGACCTGTCACATGCTAGACAAGCACACTGCCACTAAGCTACATCCCAAGTCCCACACACACACAAAGAAAAGGTCTTTTAATAAAGCTTTAGGGCTGGGAAGGTGGCTCAGTGATAGAGCACTTGCCTTGCATGCTTGAGGCCCTGGGTTCGATTCCTCAGCACCACATAAGCAAAAAGAAAAAAAGCCAGAAGTGGCACTGTGGCTCAAGTGGTAGAGCGCTAGCCTTCAGCTGAAGAGCTGAGGGACAGCGCCCAGGCCCAGAGTTCAGGCCTCAGGACCGGACCAAAATAAATAAATAAATAAATAATAGAGCTTTAGTCTATGAGTACCCTTCTCCACAAAACTTCAAAAGCATAAGATTATTTTTAAAAATCCTCTAGATATAATATGCTGTTTTTCTGTGGTTTGAACCCATGATGTGCAAGTACTCTACCATTGAGCCATACTTCCAGCCCTTTTTTGTACTGATTATTGAGAAAGGGTCTGGCTTTCTGAAGAGGTGTATACCTGGGCTGTGATCCTATTTCTCACTTTCCATTGTAACTGGAATGAAAAGTACACTATCACACTCCAGCTTCTTCCACTGACAAGAAATCTCATGGTCTTTTTTGCTAGTGCCACAGCATCTAGCTATTGGTTGAAATGGGACCTTGCAAACTTCTCTGCTCAGGATGGCCAACCAAGATCCTCCAGATCTCTAGAATTATACAAGCCTGAATCACAAACACACATTTCAAATCCTTTTTTGTAAATTATATATTGTTCATCTATACTGAACTATTTACCATTCTTGTCAGATACTTAAAAATTGGAAGCTATCCTAGCCATTTTCATAGAAAACGTTACAAACTCTTCTTTACTCCCACTCACTTCACCTCAACACAGTTCCTTCAAACAAGGCAACAACTGTCATTAAAACCTACATACACATACACAAATACATAATACCAAGTTACAACTGCAGGTTGTTCAGATTACGAATATCTTACCTAAAAATGCTTTTCTCAAAAAGATTCTTTATAAGGCTGGGAATGTGGCTTTGTGGTAGAGTAATTGCCTAGCATGCATGAAGCCCTGGGTTCAATTCCTCAGTACCACATAAACAGAAAAAGCTGGAGGTGGCACTGTGGCTCAAGTGGTAGAGTGCTAGCTTTGAACAAAAGAAACTCAGGGACAGCACCCAGGCCCTAAGTTCAAGCCCTAGGACTGGCAAAAAAAAAAAAAAGTTTCTTTATAAATAGTGAATTGCAGTAATCTAATACCAAAACCACCAACTGCAAATCAGCCAATAAAAAGGTTAACTAAGCCTGTATACAAAATGGTGTTTCTACTCCAGGAGATTGAAGTTCCTGGCACCAGTTCATAAACATGAAAGAACTGCCAATAACATACACTGAGAAAATCAGGAAAACTTTAGCACTGGTGTCTATCTTTAAGTGTGATAATGACATCATGATTATGTTTATTTAAAAAAAGACAGAAGCTGGGTACTGATGGCTCATGCCTATAACCCTAGCTACTCTGGAGGCTGAGATCTGAGGATCTCAATTCAAACTCTGCCCAGGCAGGAAAGTCCATGAGACTCTGAGACTCAATTAACCACTAACAAAAAGCCATAAGTGGAGCTATGGTTCAAGGGACAGAACGTTAGCCTTAAGTGAAAAAAAGCTCTGATCAGCACACACAAACTGAGTTCAAGCCCCTAACAGGCAAAAAAAAATTAAAAAATTTTAAAAAGCACAGAAATGTTTATGGTTAAAATTATATCTGAAGTTTACCTTAAGATAAAGGAGAAGTAGAAAAATATAAATGAGACAAGATTAGTCATGGAGGGAAAAAAGACCTATCAATTCTCTTTGTATATGTTTGAAAACTTCTATAAAGATTGTATGTCTATCTAGATATGCATATTTATGTACCTATATATACACACACATTTGCTTGTGAGCAAAATCTTTATTCTGGGTTTTACATAACTTTTAAACAGATTTCTCAATGCTTAAATTTACAAAGTTTCCCTAAACTGCACAGACGAGTCATAAGAGAGCTGTGTCACTGCCCAAATCCCAAAAACGTCATAAATGAGCTCTAGCTCAGCAAAACTACTTCAAAAGCTTGGAGGTGTGAGAGATGGCACCAAAAAGGAAATGAGATGGGGAAACAATAATAACCCTGCCCAAACTGTTCCCACAAACAGTACTCACCTCTTAAAACCAACTGGGCTTTCAACTATCACCTTCTAGCTCACTTCACTACCCTTAACATCCACAATGACCCAAGAAAACACAAACAATCCAACTACTGTGTAACCAGGTCAAAAACAAGCTTTGGCTAACTCACTTGGAAGAGTATACTCACCACTTAAATTTGGCCAGAAAAACTGGGTTAAAAAAAACCAGCCTGTTGCTTAAACAAACACTAGGGCTGTAAGCCAGTTACCAGCCACTAAGTGAATTGCAACACAATCTCTTTCCCAAAATTTTCCAAAGCCTTCCAAATTCAGTTAAGCCTAGCAGACTAAGTTAACAGGACTCCCCCTCAAATCCAAAAATCTGGCCCAGGTCCCAAAAGTTAACAAACAAAACACATGCTAATTCACTTGGGATCACCTAAGAATATTGACTCCAGTTCAGACCACAAGCCAGTCAGTACACTGCCCCAGCCAGTGGAAGCTGAGGCTAGGGAGATGCATTCAAATGAGATAGAGACCTTATTCAGAAAGCAGAAAAAGAACAATGGGACCCACACTTAATTTGGCCTAAGAAAACATGCTCAGTCAGATTCGAACACCCCCCCACCCATTTTTAAATGAAAACAATGACAATTCTTCATAATGAGCCACAAAGCCTTGCTTTTATAGGAAGATTTTTTTTTTATTATAGCCCAACCTCGTACCCACTCTTAACAGCTAGTTTAGCTAAGTTTCAGAAAATATGTAGTAATAAAGCAAACAAACCCAGGCAGGGAGAATTTACCATTCTGTTTTGAATTCTCAAGGCCTCAGCCTCCATTACCTATCTACATACAGCTCTTTCTCATCTCCAGACTGTGTATTCAGTGAACAAAAAATGAACACTACACTGCTAGTTACATCAGGTGTCAGCAACTCCACAGAGTCACGGATTCGGTCCTTCCTGTCTTCTGCAGGGTGGGGGTTGGGGGGAGGGGTTCAAATGTAAAGAAAAAGACTTGGGTGGGTGTGAAACCAGGGCATCCTCTCTACTCCTCTCTTTCCCTCATCCCTGTTTCAATTACACAGCTGTCAAACAGGTTATTCCTGGAATTCAGATTTTATAATCCCCACACTGTAATTCTTCTTGCTGTTGTTGCCCAAACATACACTCCTCCCTGCTTGCCCAAAATCTTATACCCATCCGGACAGAGGAGGATAGCCAGGATTATAAAAAGCAGTCCCAGGTAACACCAAACTCCCCACACCTGGCAAGCGCTCAGCCCAAGAAACACGATGACAATGTTGAAGAAAGCCAAGGCAGTGGTTGAAGATAATCATAGGCCAGGCCTACCCATACTGAATTTTAACTCACACACCAACCAAGGCAGCCAGAAAAGGGAGGTTGGGGGGGGGGGGGGGGAGGAAGGGGAAGGGAAGGAGAGGGGGGGGGGGGGGGGGAGGAAGCAAAAGAAAGAAAGAAAAAGAAATCTCAGGTTGTCTTGGCAGCTAAAAAAAAAAATCTTTTTTCCCTGGTTCTGCAGAAAAGTGCATGCCTAACTGTGTAGCTTATTTCCTTATCTCAAAGCCAGGAAATGAGGTCTTTTAAGGCCAGGGTGAATGGAAACTCGCTGTTCAAAAGAAACAACAAGGCGAAACCCCCCTCCCAACTTTTGGCCAGGCGGCGTGGCCTTGTCACCCTCTCCCTCCCTTCTTCCCCCCCCCCCCCCACCCTCCCCGCCCCAACCAGAAGTTTCAACACGCCACGGGGAAACAAAGAAGGCGCCCCCCCACCCCAAACCGACCTTATAGACTTGTCCATAGGTGCCATTTCCAACCACTTCCACCAGCTCGAAAATCCCAGCAGGGTCCTGGAAGAGGAAGCAGGGGAAGGGTTATACCCATTGCCAAGAGGCCCCCCGACAAGGAATGCCCAAAGCGGGGCAGCAGTCCGAAAGAAAGGGACAGTGATACAAAGGGGGTGATGTGGTCCCTCCGGGTCCCTCCAACCCCAGCGTCCCCCCCCCTCCAGGACCCGGGCGCACCGGGCGAGAACGCGGGGATCGGTGGGGGGGGGG